CTGTATATTGTGATGTTACTGTATATTGTGATGTCACTGTATATTGTTATGTTACTGTATATTGCTATGTTACTGTATATTGTTATGTCACAGCTGTTGTTTATACAGCGTGTCAGCAGCAGCTATGTCTCTGTCCACCCTGCAGTGTGAACCCAACAACAAAGACAACCATGCATACTGAATGAGCAGGCAAGAACAGAGCTGTCAGGAATCTGAGGAATGCAGAGACAGACAGACAGACAGACACACACACTGCATTCTGTTGTGCAGCCCTGTTGTACAATGACAATGAAATGTACCTTTAACCTTACAACCCATTACATAATAATACAATCATGCTAAAATAAACAAAACATTCCTAACTTTGCTACTTTTTTCCTATTTTGATAAGTATAGTTTTTCACATGTGGACACTTTGCAATGATTTAAATATTGGGCTGTGATGGGATGCCAAATAAGACCATGTACAAAGCATTTAGTGTGCTCCTCCCTCTCAGTCGTACCTGGCAGCCAGCAGCCTCAGGCCCAGCTCCAGGCTCTCTCCATGCAGCTCCTCCAGGGTGACTCTGCGGCTCAGAGGGCTGACAGGTAGCGGACTGCCGTCCTCCAGAGCAGCTGGGAACTCCTCCACAAAGCTCCCCAGGAAGGACCGGGCCTCCTCCTCCATCCTGCGGACTCTGGCTGCAGTAAGCTCTCAGGTGAACAGGGGGTCAGGGGTCAGGGCTCACAGGTCCCAAGTGGAGACTTAAAAGGAAAAGAAAGCAGGCTTCAAGTTTCACTCTGAGCACTGCGTGGTGGTAAATTAAAGCAGCATACACATCACAGACCGACATTTTAATTCCTTGCTGGTAAAAGGGCGGCAGTAGCTCAGTTGGAAGGGACTTGGCTTCCAGTCCCACTCAGACCAAGTACTGAGCAGTGACGGGGGGCTAGAGAGGTACCACAATGACTTTTCACTTATAAGTCTTTGATCTATTAAGTTAAACTCTTGAGACAAAGTCTAAGGAAGCTCTAAACAGACATTTTATAATACATTTATCTTGAGATCACGAGTTAATCTCAAAAAAATAAGCGATGTCTCGAGATAACGAGAAAATTAACTCAATATCACAAGAAAACAAAAGGTTGTTTTCTCTTATTATCATTATCATACCAGCCAACGGTAAATGCATTCAAATGGCCCAGATGCATGTTAGAGGAAGAGCACTTCAGCACATCTTGGACTACATACATACTAGGAAGATAGCGTTCCCTCCACAGATGGGATTCTACCACTGGATTTTGGATCATTGCAGAAAATAAGCTCTATGGCAATCACAAGTTTATAATATTTACACGTTTTGTACAGCAAGATAATCTTTACAATTGAACATCACCTTTATGATTGTTGAAGCGTAAATACAATTGGCAGAGGTGGAAATCTAACTTTAGGCAATTAACAAACCACACCCTTTGATGCATGAGTGCTAAATACGACGCGGCTGTGAAGGCAGACCAGTGGGCGTGATTCACTGCATTAGTCTCATTGCTGACTCAACCCGCAGCCCTCCAGCCCTCCTGCAACCCGCCTGATGTTCCTCATGGAACACGTTCCGTACGAGTGACTACCCGTTCAGACATGAACTCGTAAACTGCTCAAACTAAGAGAGACGTTTCATTTATACATTCAAAACAAGGTTGCATTAAGGAAGAAATATACCCTATCTAGTCTAGTCTAGAAAACGTGTTAAGCCTTTTCTATATTGTCTCATACTTTATCTGTGTTATATAACGTCAAACTATTGTAGAATGGGAGCAACTGTAATGTAACCCAATTCACCCCCATGATCAGCAAAGTATATTACAGTGTCCTAGCCGGAGAGAGTGAACCAGTTCTTCCCAGAGTTTGTAGCTGAACTAAGGCGCTCCATTGAGGTGTGTTCAGGAGCGCCTCAGTCAACTCGGTTAAATGCGTTTACCGTCGACTCATTTGACCCAAACATTAGAAGTAAGCTAACAACAGAAGACGACCTTTTGTTTTCTTGTGATGGCGAGTTAAATTATCTCGTTTTGTTGATACAACTAGCTTGTTTTCTCGAGATAATTATCTCGTAATATCGACATAACGGTATTTATTTATGTATTTCAATCATGTCCGTTTAGGGCTTCCGTATAAGTCCAAATGTATGATAGTAAGTCAAACGTTCTACGATCTCATCGTTTCTGACTGACTGATTTTGTTTGTCCTTTAGTGGGCGGAAGTGGCCCCAGTAACAGTGAGGCTAACGAGGCTCTACTTTCTGTGGCAGTGAAGAGACTAACCATCCTCCAGGCTGCTGCTGCTGCCCAGGCTACACGTTAACATGTACCTCGCTGTTTCACATCATGTGCCAAAGCTGTCCAAACTGTATGCATAGCATTATAGCTAGTAGCCACATACGTTCAGCCTACTCTACTCAATTTAATAGTTTTGCGTTGTTTTATACAATGCTTTCCAAAAGACGTAACAATGGCGTGATTTTCCGTTTTTATAAGTTAACTTATTTCTTTACTAGTGTCGATGGAAGCGTCCTCATGGCTGAGACGTTCACGTAATAACAGCATGCGTGCAGTCAGCACCATAACAGAAGGTTCATCACTGGCTGGATTCGTTTAGAAAAGATCATTTCCCCGTTTAGAGGAGCGCAGTTTCTTCATGTTACCTGCAGCTCGTTAAACTAGAACAACCCGTCAGCAGAGTAACGTTCCACAGACACAGCGGAGGGGAACAGTAACAGAGATTCATCGGTAAAACACGAACCTGTGCTGGAAGACGTGCTGGCTGTAACCGTGTAACGTGATGCTGGTGTGCACGGTAGTGTACCACGGACAGGAGCATCTCCCTGTGCACACGTCCCTCCTCCTTCCACTGGAGATTTAAAGGGCCACACCACTATTTACATGGAGGACTTCAAAACATACAAAACAAAATAGGACATTCATTGAAAATACTGAACTTGTTTTAATTATTGATTAAGCTGCATTCTCTTCTTGATTTGTCAATTAAATGTCAGAAGAATATGTGAAAACTACTTAATATAATATTCCATAGATCAAGGTGATCTATCAGTCCAAAACCCCAAAATATTCATTTAAAGAAAAGCATCAAATCATCACATTTGGGAACCTGGAACCTGTAAATGTATGGTGTTTTTGCATGAAGAATGACTTAAAGAATTAATCAATAATAATGGTTGACTAGTCAAGTAATATTGTTCGAACTCTATGGCAATTTGAAAATGGAGAGTGAAAATGATAATGCTTCTATAATATTCAAACAAAAACCTTTCAGGGTGAAGGTGGTATTTATATATTTATAAATAGCGTTCAAACTTAAAGTGCTTTCCTGTGTTATTTGTAGCCTATATTGTTACTCTATTATAGGACAGCCTGGAGTCAACACCAGCCAGCCAGACAGGCAGCTTTTCAGCTTTTAGGAGCAGTGTCCAGACAGACTTTAAGGAGAGCTTTTATCCAATCACATTTCGCCCCTATGTTGTCTCTAAGTAAAAAGATCTGCCCGAGGCCTTCAGAATTACAAGTGAATCCATGTGCAGTGTAAGTGAATGGGGACGATATTGTTGATTGTCAGTCTTCAACCAATCAGATCTTAATGCTGCGTTCACACCAAACGCGGCGCGAATTATTCGCGTGAGTAGATTACATACAAAGTCTATGCACAGACGCGATGAGACTGGCGTGGCGCGAATTTGCGATGGCGCGGCGCGATTGACTACTCGCGCGTTTGGGGCGTTTGACGCGAATTCGCGTCAATCGCGCCACAGATTCGCGTCAAACTCCCCAAACGCGCAAGTTGAAATTTTTCAACTTCTGCGAAATATTCGCGTTACGCCCCGGCGCGATAGCCTATCAGCGTTGAGTTGCTTCCCCTGTCATCACTGACTTCCTGCCGTTGTTGAATCAGGAAATAAATCCTGTGTTCACCCAGAGCTCTACGATACCTCATATCAATAGAGACCGGACCAAACTATGTGTATACATGTGTTTGTGTGTAAACCATATGGTACAAACAATGAATAGATGCTGCCGTATTTACGTCTACATGACGTTATTCTGAGTGTTGGTGGAGCTGCTACAATGTTAGAATAGCCTAGCACCGCTCCATCCGCTCCATTGGGAAGACAAGTACAAATCGGCATCATTACGTAGTTATTTCGGAGTCCCTTTTTGTCGGTTTGTTGCCGTTAAATCACAGCCAAATCAGTTTATTTTGTGTTCATACAGCTGTAGTAAACAGCGACGTGTGGCTTGCTAGACACAGTGAACACAGCTCGATAAAATCCACGGAGCTCCTCTGGACAATATTATGAACCAGACATGACGGCATTTAGTTTCCCGGGATATCTGTGACTTCCACAACACGTACTAAGCAGAAATAGAGGTTATTTTTTTTCATGGTTAATGGCGGACAGTTGAACGGCTTTCAGGGCGATAAGCCGCGCCCCCTCTCCGGCGCGTCCAGCGCGAATGAACACTGGTCCCCAGCGTTTTGACCAGCGGCGCGATTGACGCAAATATGCAGCGCGATGAATTCTCGCCGCAGCATTAGTTTGACATGTTGGGCGTATTCTTTGACATGTTAGAGCCTGCTAGCTGGCCTACAAGTACGTCATCATTAACGTGCGGCTTGATTGGTCAGTAGGCTAGCGTGACTGTTGTGAAACTAGCTAGCAGAAATCTGCTGCCTCTGTCGAGCGGACATTTTCAGCCCTCAAGCGCATTAAAACGTATTTAGGAAATACAACTGGGGAGGCTCGACTGTCTTCACTGGCGTCCATGAATCGAGAAGGACTTCTTACTGGAACTGAACCGCACCGATGTACTGAACAACTGTGAGATTAAACTCTTTGCAATCAAAGAAAGGAGGATGGACTTTGTCTTTAAATAGTGAACAGCAGCTTTGGTATTTGTTTTTACATCTGCAGTAGCGTTACTACTGTGTTAATTTTTCTATTGTGTGGTTTTTATGATCTGATTAATATTGTTCCCTCTGATGTGAATAATATTTGAATGACTCGTGCTCTTGAGTGTGTGACGCAATACGTGTTTTAGCACCGCAGTGTTGCTGGATTGATTTGTCATGCTTTGTCATATAAATATATGTGACTGGTTCTTGTGAGTTTGTTCTGGTCATTGTGATAATTAATTGATTTTGACTCCATGCATTGTCCGTTAATGACGAAGCATCCCGTCATGCTGCGTCATAGTGCCAGACCTGCATGCGTTATAGTTTTGCATGTATTCATGTATCTGCACTTAGTGTATCTGTAGGTGTTGAGCTTCATGTAACATGTTATTTCAATTGTCAAATGTTGCAGTTATATGAATATGAGGTGTTTACATGAAACAAATAACCGTAGCTGTGGCGTCATAATGAGGTTATTAGGAGGAGGTTCAACTGTAGTAGGACAGCACTGAAGGCCCAGGTATAAAACACACGGTTCACCACTGGCTACTTACAGCTGTCACGACATGCAAAATGATTGAAATAAAATACATTCAGGAGCGTGGTGACTAAGGCTATAGTGGGGGCAATAGGCGACTCATATGACACAAGTATTACAAGTAGATGGAACCCATGATCCCACCGGTTGTGAAAACACAAGTCATATGAGGTCACAGAGCACCTGCTAACCATACCACACCAACAGCTGACAAAGGTGATGCACGGACATTAACAGACACCGTTTTGGCAGAGCTAAATGAAGTTCAGCACGCACTGGGGTGGTTTGCAAACAAATGTGAAGCAGTCGGCATAAGAGTCAGTACCTGCAAGTCTGAGGCCATGGTTCTCTGCCGGAAAATGGTGGATTGCACCCTCAGGGTTGGGAGTGAATCACTGCCCCAAGTGAGGGAGTTCAAGGATCTCGGGGTCTTGTTCACGAGTGAGAGTAAAATGGAGCGTGAGATGGACAGAAGATTTGGTGCTGCGGGCCTTGTACGATACGGCCTTGTATGATAAGTTGGACCGGACACATTAAAGACTCAAAGCCAGGTATTTGATGGGGCTGCTCTGATATCTGGAAGCCATGGTGGCATCCAGAAGCTACTGCAAGAGAAACTAGGTCTTGAGATACCATATGTACTTTGTCTTATCCACCAGTTACACAAGTGGTAGTACACGCAATGTCAGCAGAGACAGCTGTAGTGGACGTTGTTCATGTGTGTTATGCCCTCTGCAAATTCTGCAAGAAGCCCTCAGTTGCACTAGGGGTGTGCATCTTAAACGCCTTCTGGAGCAGAGATGGACAGGACATCCTGCCCCTGTGTCAGTCATCCTAAAATTCTTTTCCGACCCAACATATCTTTTGACTGAGATGGTCCACTCTGTGCTGGCCTGTGGTGCAGAAATACGAATGGAAGCATCATGGTTTCCCTCAGAGGGCCGGTTGTAACTGTAAGACTGTATAAATGTAACTACTCCCTAACATATTGTTAAATAACGGTCTCTGCATTTTATTGTTTATTCAAATGTAAAAATATTGTACATGCAGTTATATAAATATATTTAAGCACATTTCTGTTATAACATATAACAATTTTATGTTTTTCTTGGAGGCTAAATTTAGCATATACCTGGCTCCGTGTTTGGTGACGTGTTGTGAGATTCCTTCATCTGCTTCATCGCTGCCTCAGAACACAGAAGACAGACCGGTGTTTCTCCTTCAAGCACAAACATGTATTCGATTTCCTATCTTTCATTAAATGTAAACAATGCTGTCTAGCGGCAGGATGCCGTCATTTTGCGGATCACAAAACTGACATGCATTATGGGAGATGTAGTTTATGGTCACTTTACAATGTAAAGCAGCATACTTTCATTTTAAGACAATATGCCTGTTATATGGAAGCACATTTCCAGCAGCAAAACAAAACTACAAAAAAAGATGAAAAGTTAGACGACAAATATCCCCATGGCACTTTTGGTGCATCCATCTGTAACCATGACACTGACCAGATGTTTCCAGTTGTTGTTCAATGAAGGTCGTCACCTCAGCCACATCGGTTCTATTCTTTCTACACCAGAGCTGGTGCTTCTTGCTTAAAATCCTCTCAAGGGTGCGTTTGCTCAGTACAATCCCACGTGAAGTATTTCATCTGTTGCACGTTTAAAGAAGTCTTCAATGTACTCACAATCCATTTATATTTCAAATGTAGGTCAACCTGTGAAGAGCTGCTTCTATGACTGGTGTGTTTAAGTATCTCATCATTTGGACTTTCTATCTCATAATTTCGTCCATGGGGATATTTAAATTTTCACGTCTATTTTCATGCTTTTTTTTTTTTTGTAATTTATTTATTTATTTTTTGCAGGCCACATGAAATGACGTGGCGGATTCGGACCTCGAGTTTGACACATGTGGCCTAAATCCTGGTGGCAAGGAGAGCAGGTGGGAGCTAGCTGACTGCCTCAGGGTCGGCATATAGAGTCCAGTTGGTTAATATTAACTTTCTCAGGTTACACTCGCAGCCATGGAGAGTGAGTGACTGAAGATATTGAGACAAACTTGTATTTTCTTGAGCCTTTATAAAAAAACAAGCCAACAAAACTTGCTAGCTTGTATTAACGGACGTATTGAGAGAATTATTCTGTTCTACCTACGCTCTGCCCACAATACGTCTTCATGTTAACGAACAGAAAAGGACACGATAGACTGCAACTATTTTCTTGAAATTTCAATTGTGTCACTGCAACTCTTTACCCACCATTTTCTATTTTAAAGTTGACAGCATACTGTATATATTTATAAGCTCTTTTTATGGTAAATAAACACTTGAGGCAAACATTTTCCAAATACATATTTTACTCCAGTGTAATTAAATACACGTTAAAACAAATGGAAAAATGAAACAACAGGATGCACTACAAACAGACACTATACAAAGTAAGCTGCCAAGGCAGCCATTTTGTCTTTAGGTTTTTTAGGATTGCCACGGCGTCCTCTGCCACGTCCCCGTCCTCCTCGCCTCGCACCCCCACCCCGGTACCTCATGGTGGCATGTTTGAGCTCCACCAGATCCTGGAAGACTGGATCACAGAAAACACAGCCGGTGTGTTGGGTCTCGCCGTCAGGAAGTGGAGTGCGAGTCTTGTTGAAGTCCACCGCGACCTGAGAGGCGTCACAGGCATCGCAGCTCTCCTGAGCCACCTTCATGAACAAAGGAGAACCACAGAGGCAGCATATCAATCAACAGAGATGTTAAGAGGGGAAGTAATAAAACCTTCAAGGACGGGGGACCAACGAGTTCAAATCACTCCACAACTAACAGCCTACAGAGCGTCATACACCGACTCACTGTACCTGTAGCAAGATGCAATTTATGAAGACATGTTGAACATACATCTGTGAGCCACACATTGTCTTCATTACTATGAACACACACACACACACACACACACACACACACACACACACACACACTTGAATATATGTTGACTCAATCCCACAGACACTGCACTGTGCTGCTGCCTCCAATAGAGCAGCGAGTGTGGTTCATCTGCAGCTGAATACAATCAGTATTCGACTCGTAGTTGAAAGTGCATTGATCAGGGAAATCAGCTGGTGATATGTTTGGTGCCTGCAGACGTTTGCATATTTAGATCACGGAGTGTGTTTTCTGTTCTAGGCCTATAAAGCCCATTTAGACATTGTATGCAACATTGGGCCATAGACATAGGACAAGATGTAGGAATATTCTCTTACCTGCACTCTGTGTGCATGTTCAAAAAAGTGCACCACCACGTTGCATTTATTACATGCCATCTTCCATTTTGGTCCAGAAGTGGGATCCAGCACCAGAACCCCCCCCATCACACTCCACACACTGTCCAATGCCCAAAGAGTTGAGAGAGTGCTGACAGGAAGGATGGGTGCATTCATTGCATCCCATACCTGGAAAATGCAGATCGATATGAATAGAGATCGATAAAAAGACTCAAAAAGTACACAAGAGACTCAATCTAACACACACCGTGTTAGATTTACTGTTTGCCACAAGATGTAAAAGACAGCCTGAGATAGAACTACAACTTCATCATAAAAGACCATTAAATGTTTCAACATAAGTCATCATCATCAAGTAATAAATGACTTACTAGTGTTGGGGCTAGTTTCACATCTGCTGTCGGGGTCACAATGCTAAGGCTTATCAGCCACTATGAGACTTCAGAGGGACATGATGAGACTGGTCCTACCTTTCTTCATGTCCCTGAAAGGCGGGTTGCTGAAGCAGTACGGGCACAGCGGGTAGCTTTTGCCCCGGGATCCAGAGGTCCACAGCACCAGCTCAAACTCGTCCAGCGGACAGCGGAGCTCCTTGTACAGCTTGATGGCTCCGTTCTGGGGAAGACTGTAGGTCTCGTCACAGTGGGAACAGTGGAGCCTGCTGGGCTTGCACTGGACATTAGGAAAGTAAACAAAAAATATTCAGATTTATAAAACCTTGCGTACGCCTGCCTCTGTGCTACTTCCTGTTATAAATCCCAAATCAACCTGTGAATGTGTTCAGCTGGTCCAGCCTCACATCCCGCCCTCTACACGCACACATTCAACCACGAAGGGTCAATGCAGAGCACTTCATGAGTGTTGATGCATAAACACGAGCTTCTGATCAGTGGGACTCTACGGTGAGAGAGTACCGAGAGGAAGAATGGATGAGGTGATCTCTGAACACTTGTGAGCTCGGTACAATCAAACACTGAACCAGACTTGTTTAGGCAAAAAGTTTACAATCAACTTTCATGAAGTGAAAACACAGTGTGAAAGGGTTAATGTTGTAAGACGAAAACATGGACAGCTACCTGACCGGACACTGCAGTGGTAGAGACCTGTCAATCACTGTGTAGCCCCGCCCTAAAGCATCCCCTGCTTTATGGTCTGTGTGACTCTAAATGGACCATAATGTACTAAATGAACATCATGCTGTATTGAAGAAGACTTGAAACTAGAGATTGAGACCATAAACTCATGTTTACAATGTTTACTGAGGTAATAAATCAAGAGAGAAGTAGTCATTTTCTCATAGACTTCTATACAACCAGAGGAGTCGCCCCCTGGTGGACACTAGAGAGAATGCAGAGAGAATGCTTAATATCAAACCGGTTTGAACAACAACAACCCTACTTAAGACTGCAAACACGAAAAGGTCAGAGATCATCACTGAAGACATCAGCAGACCTGTGTTTTCAAACGCATTCTGGGTTATTGTGTGAATTTATTCCATTCTAAATTAAATATATAACACAATAGAAGATGCCACTGTATGTATGACAAAAATGTTGTATTGCTAAAGCACATGACAGCTCCATGTGACTCCCAGTCGCCACATGTGCTGGATTCCTAATATAAACTTCCATGACAGAATGATAAAGTTCCTTGAATCTGTAATGAGGCAGAAATGTACATTCTAGGAGCCCGTGGACCAGTTTAAACATGCAAGTTCTTCACCTTACGTAGCTCCCAGAGTACTTTATTCATGGGTCACCTTGTGGTTTCCACCAGAACAGACCACTTAACAGTCACACGCAACCCAGTACACATATATTCAGATAAAATAACAATGACAAAAAGATCTGCAGCCTCATGATTCATTCATGGCTTTAAAAGTGGTCCCGGTCAGTGGTTTCCATCAGGCTGAAATGCTAATGAAGGGAACACGTCTGCTTTAGCATTTTAAAGTTCTTCTTTAAAGCTGAAGTTAGAAGGCCAACGCACAACAGCAAGACAGGAAGTGACGGGCTGTGCAATAAGTCAGCAGGGTTTAACGTTACAGGTAAGAAATCTACTTCTCCAAAGTCAATCGTTATTTGCCCCGATACAAATTGTACTTCGGGCTAATAAGCCATATTTCTCAAGCAAGAAACAGAATCCTTGGCACTGATACTGAGGGCACAGTGACTCAACAAGGGGCTTGTAGCATTACTGTGTTAAAGTGGGCAAATTGGCAAAAGTTGGCTGTGGTACCTCATTGTCTTGTCCTGTGATGTTAACTGCACTTTTTAAATGTCTTGTACAACCTTTATTTAAAAAGGTAATGTCGTTGACACACAGGGTACCTTCTCAAGGGAGCCCTGGTTGAGATATAGCAGCTATGTGCCACAAAGCTACAGACAGACAGGACATTCACACAGAGACAACAGAGAACACAAATCATTGAAGTGGACCGGTGATAAACTAATAATGACCTGAGCCACCAAACATCTGTCTTCATATCTACAGAGGGCGGGTTCCCACACCTCAGAGAGGTGTCCTATGCTCTGGTATGGGCCGTGTTCATTTTGAAAGGGGCAACGTCACAGAGAATTAATGTCAGACACTCAAATCTACAATCATGCTTTCTTTAAAGGATTAGTTTGGACACTTCTGCTAACCTGGATGTACTTCATGAAGCGGTGGCACTTGCCACAGCGGGACAGCGGCTTCCCAGAGGCAGCGATGGGGGAAAAGGAGACCTCCATCAACTCATCCATGCCTGTAAACACACAACAGACAGAAACGCTGGGCTAGAGCTGCATAGAAATGCACCGAGGAATCTTTGATGTGAGGGTGTGTGCACTTGTTTGTGTGTGAGGCGCAACGCTATTCTACTTACTAGCTGTTGTCTATCTTGCAATTACAGTGAGACGAGAGACGTGACCCAAGACCAGATTATCATTTTATTGTATAAAAGACCTAAAACAAGTCATGGTATCAGGACTAGCTGTGCGTGAGGATGCCATGACCTGCTGTTGACCTGACGTTGCTGTGGATGCAGTGAACTTACTGGGGATGGAGTCCACAAAGTAGTGGAACTTCCTCTTGAAGATATCCAGCGTGTGCTGCAAGACCTGCTGGAAGTTGGCCTTACCCAGAGAGATAAGGGTCAGCTGCTTCTCCACAGCGCTACGGATGGTGGGCAGCACCAGCTCTGCATCTGCAAAGCACACATTTAAATTCTCATTAAGGTGGCTCGTGAATTTGAATGAAGTGGACCATCCTATCTGGTCTTATGTCCTAAAGGGTTATTTATACCGGACAATCAGTCAACACAGCATCCAAAGATGATTGTGCAATGTTCTAGAAACCTGCAATCAATGCAGAGCTATAAATCCCACATACATGTCAGAGAATGTGCATCATTAGACGGTAAATGACCTGTCTTGTAGTAACCATGGACCAGGACAATGCCCAGGTTGGTTGGCTTCAACTTGCGTCCGTTCTCCACAGTCACATAGTTCCTTTGGCAGATGTTGTTGATGTGGACAGGAATGCTGGCATCAGTACCTGAAGACGGAGGACAGACGGCAACATCTGTAAAACTGGTTCTTGTCGTCATCACCATCATCACTCTGCAGATGAATGCTGTCATGCAGGTCATCTTACAGACGCAGCAGCATCAAGTGGTGAGTATTAACTTCTACTAATCTGCATATAAAAAGGCTAGAAAACAAATCTAATCACCATCTAATCATCTTTGACTAGTTTTGTATTGCTGTGGGTACATGTAGTTTACATGGATGTATTTTGTTCATTCTCCCACTCTCCCCTGTAGCAACACATTGAGGCCAACATGCTGCACCGGCTGCTTCCTATCTTACGAGATCCTTCAGGAACAGAACACATGTTGAACAGACATTGCAGAGGTATACCAATGCCATGTTTCTCCATGAGGGTGATGAGTTCAGCCTCGGTCAGGTACTCTGGGGGGCTGGTCTGCTTCTCCACCAGCTTGATCTCGTCCACTGTGAAAGTGTCTCCACACTCACAGACAGGCATGGCCTCCTCCAGAGGGATGCCCTGCCACGGCATCACTGCAGTGTAACCTGCGGAGAGAATCTGCACTTAGCACGAAGTGGGTTGAAGCAGCTTCTTGTAGTCCTTCCTTACTTCTTAGTGACTACTAGCGAGTATTAAACTAGTGACTTATTAAATCAGGCTACAACTTTAGTAGCGATAGAAAGTGACTTAACAGACATTTGTAGAAATGACAATCCTCGAGATTACAACTTGAACCTCTCCATCCCTTTACTATAGACCGAGTTGATTAACAAGAGTTAATGCACAGTAACCTGCACCGACTCCTTCAGGGATTTCAGATCCATGCATGGTGTGAGCAGCTGCGTTACCTGGTGATATCAGGGTTTTGCCGCTACACGAGAAGGCCTCTGTGCCGATGTTGAAGTCAATGGTGGTCTGTAGGTATTTGCAGTCCTGACTGAGAGTGGCAATGAAATGGCGTGTGATGTAGTCGTACAGCCGCCAGCCATCACTTCCTGTGAATAGCAGAGGAGGAAGAACTGGGGTTAGAGGCTTAACATGAAGGGGATATCAGAGTGAAAGGTCTCCTCGTGTGTACAAATGACTATTTTGACAGCTGCCCTTACTTTGTAACCTCATATGGGACATGCATTATCTATTATCCATTATTGAATTAGTTATACGACTCACCCAGTTCCGCTTCTGAGGCGGCACGCATGGGAGTGATAGGTGGATGGTCTCCGACATCAGCTCCTTTCCTGGGTCGGTTTAATCCAGTTGAAAGCAGAGCCTTCACCTGATGGAGAGGGAATCACGTTTCTGTTTATCCGCGATCGATCGGTCTCTGTATGCATACACCACTGGCCTTAAATGCATCATGGCATGAATATTATTTATCCGTGTTCCCACAGTTTTAGCGACGGTCTAAGATCCTCAGGGAAGACAAAGACTAAGACTAGGTCCCACAGTGGTGCTCACCTCTTCTGCCCACATGGGATTGCTGGTCTGCTGCTTCAGCGCTCCCTTCAGGTCAAAGTTCTCTGGGTAGTGGGTTGTTTCAGTACGTGGGTAGCTGATGTAGCCCTGAATGTACAGGCGCTCTGCAATCTGCATGGTATGCTGGGGACCCATGCCTGAGACATCACAAAGTATCACATCATTTGCTCTTCTTCTTGCACCGTCACACAACTGGAGCTGGAGCTCATACTGCTTGTTGCTGTTGATCTTACTGGTGTCCAAAGGTTTTAGAGAGTCAAGTCAATATCCAGACTGTATCCTGGACTAAAAGCTGTCAATATTATTTAAAAGGGGGGTTTCCTTGAACCAGTTTGGAATATATAAGCTCATTTCCTGTCCAATTACACCATTACTTTCCTTCGGGAAACTACTGAAGCTGCACCGTCTATATTTTTGTTGATAGTTTAGAATGACAGAAAGTCTTTTAATTATTTGGAAGAATAAGGCTGAATATTCTACATGTTTCTTATCACAGGTATAGTGTTTGTTTCCAAAGCCTAAAGTATCGTGCCATTATATTGTGCCAGAGAGCTCTGCTGTGGTCCAGACACATGTGTGACATGTTCCTTCATCATCATGAGCTGTTTAAGGAGATGATTGAGCCTTTATTTCTAAAACTGAAACTATACATTTGTGATGCGTTTTTAAAGACGTATGTCTTCAGTAGGAACCAATGGGCTTGGGGCTGAGTGACAGAGGCTAGTGTAGTCAGAAAGCATTTAGAGGCAGACTATCACATTCTTGGTTTTGCTCTCTTCATGGGAATTGTACACAGAAGAGACATGTGAAACACAAGCCCGATCCTTTACCTTTACAACCTGACTCTAAGATCATGGCCAGAAAGATGATGCACCTCTCGTTTCTACATTCAGCTTCCCGATTGTGAGGATTTGCTAATTTTCATATTTTGGATTGATGTCATTTGATGACATCAATCAAATTATGATGCAGAGATTTTATTATTTTCTTAAAACGACGAGATGAAAATATTAAGCAGATTAATTGACAATAAAATAAATCTAAAGTTGTAGCCCAAATCCATACAAAGTCGTGCTTAACATCAGCACTGACTAGTGACCAGCAAATCACCTCACCATAACATGCATTCACACATTCCCAAATATTCACTCTCCTTACATGAATTAGAGCAGAACTAATAGCTAAAAGGAATGAACAGCTGATGAAATGCTGCTTGTGTTGACGTGAACATACCTAAGGAGGAGCTGGCCACTCTCAACATCTCCACAGTGTTCAGGGCCTGGGGCCTCTGCTTAGCCTTCTCCTTCTTACTCACCGACTCCACCTGATGAAGAGAGGAACGATGATGCAGCTTTATATCAGAGGTCAGCTATCGGTGAATCCATCAGTGTGGAAATTAATCATGTAGCACTCCCACAAATTCTCTTGTGAAGTTTTATTTACAGTTTAAGTTTCTTTAATATTTGGTGATCTGTAGGTGACTTTAATATTCATGTGGATGTTGATAGTGATAGCCTTAGTTCTGTGTTCATCTCATTATTAGATTTGATTGGCTTCTGTCAGAGTGAACAGAAACCCACTCACTGTTTTAACTCTCGACCTGGTTCTGGCTTATGTCATTAACGTAGAAGATTTAATAGTCTTTCTACAGAATCCTCATGTCATCGGACCATTATCTAATAACTTTTAAATTCTTACTACCGGAGTGTACGCCATTAAGCAAAAGTTTCTACACTACAGTAGATGTCTATCTGGTGCTGTAGCTCAATTTAAAGAAGTGATTCCGTCTGTATTTAACTCAATATCATGCTTCAGTATAAACGAGGACTCCTGTGATAACTTTAGTCCGTCCCAGGTTGATGATCTTGTCGATAGTGCTTCAGGCTCACTGAGAATGACACTAGACTCTATTGCTCCTCTAAAAAAGAAGATGGTAAAACAAAGGAGGTTCGCTCCATGCTATAACCCTCAAACCCGCAAATTAAAGCAAACATCATGAACACTTTAAAGAACATGGCGTTCCACCAATTTGGAAGAATCTGTTAGTCTTAAGATACATAAGAAGGTCCTCCGTAATGCCAGAGCAGATTATTACTCATTAATAGAGAGAAAGGTTTTTTGGGGAGTTCTTCCTGTACCGATGTGAGGGTCCTGGGACAGAGGATGTCGTATGAGTACAGATTGTAAAGCCCTCTGAGGCAGATTTGGGATTTTAGGCTATAACAAATAAAATTAATTAACCAGAAATAAAGGAAACATCTATAAAAAATCTATAACATCAAAATCTAAATATTGACGTCACTACAGTAGTATCAGTCAGGCTATAAAACACCCACGCCGCAGACACATTGTTATTCAATAGAATCATAATAAATAATAAATTACTTACTTGGGCTTCCCTGGATGTCTTGGCCAGGTTGACGAACATCTGACCCACGTCCCTGTCGAAGACCCTCACCCTGTTCCAGTCCAGTGTCAGTGGGCTGTCCTTCCCTCTGAATACCTGACCACAACACAGCATGCCCGTCAGTACAGCACGGGAGGAAGAAGTGATTGACACTGTAGAAGGGAATGAAACCAGGGGCGCACCTTTGCCTGGATGACCCAGTACGTCTCTGGTTTAAAGGACTGGATCTTGTCATGGCGTTCCACACAGAAGCCTAGTGTTGGGGTCTGGCATGGTCCAAACGAGATCAAGGAGGAGTCTAGGTTGCCGTACTTACCCTGGAAATATTTGGTCTGGAACCTGAGAAACATTTGACCAACAAAGGACAGTCGCCATCAAACGCATGTCATCCTGAATAAAGAATCTGATGCAATTGGGATTATTTCTTCTGTTTAACTGATTACATAACCTAAAGCTGAGTATGCAATAGGGGTGGGAATCACCAGAGATCCCCCGATACGATATTATCACGATACTTGGGTCACGATATGATATTATCACGATACTGCGATATATTGCGATTTATTACTTTTTTCAACTTCAAATGATGTCCCCAAAGGAAAACTGTGTCAACATAAGATAATAAGATAAAGTTTTCAGTCTGTTCATCTCACTTCAATCATTTTTATTGCAGCAAAATAGGATTGTCAAGCAGACAGACTGACCAACAATGTCCTAGATGTTGCATGAACCTGACAAACTGAACTGTTTGTATTACTACATAGTCCAACTTAACTAAATGCAAACGTGTGGACTCAGTATATGAACTATAACTTATATAAGTAGGATATAAGAGTTATATAACTCAGTATAACTTGCGATGCGTGGACGTCAAGGGCAGAGAGACAGTTATGCGCTGCACTCTCCCCATGAGCCTGGCCCATGAGCCTGGCTACAGATTTAACCCCGTTGTGAGGCCAGATGTCTCTCTTTGTTTTGACCAACTTCCTACCAATCACACTGACCCGGGACCTTTGCTGACCTCACCAGAAAACAACTCAGCACCATCTAGTGGACTGAAAAAGCAATTGATTTGATTTTTTTTTTTTTTTTTTTTAAATAGTTTATGTAATAAAAGATCGATTCCCCCCCAAGTCGAACTACTATTTGTACACAGGTTGGTGTTAGTGTGCTCCAACCTCTGTATCAAGACCTGGTGCTGGTTGGACCAGTGGTTTACTCATGGACCATGTGATCACAATGTATGGATGGAGATCTGGCCCCTGAACGTTGTCATCTCTCTCGGTCTCTCAGAACTTTCTTTGTCATATTTCTACTTTGAACGATGCAGTGAAGACAGACACGGTCAAAAACCTTAACGGTCATAATTGTCCAACATGTAGTGAACTTGATTTGGTCCCCACAGCTAATGGGACTGTCCGGACACCGTACTGGGATGCATGGACGTCGCAGCTATTTCATGACTTTTTTAAATGATTAGCTTACCCCACCATTGTCACCATGTCAAAAATGATTGCATAGGTCAGAGCGCTTTGTCAGTGCTTCACTATCGAATCCATTCCGCTAGATTAGTGAGAGAATGCCCAGATCAATGAATCTCCATGGACCATGTTTCCATTGCTACCTTTCACACAGGCAGCTTCTCACATAGCACACATACATGCTCGCCAAGCAGCACGGCGTGCTACGCCCAAGCTCTGTCAGACAGCGACAAGCCATTAGAAGTAATGGCTTCAACTGTTACTGCTGTCACGGCTCCACTGTGACTCCAGCTCGTTCTTGGCATCTCCCCTCTGTGTTCTCTCTCTCTCTCTCTGTGTGTGGCATGGCACGGCTTCCATCACCCAGCACCTGGGCTCATCTCCGCACCTGCCGGCAATCAGACCTTCAATCACATGCAGCTCAAGTACCTTCACTCTCTCTCAGATTGTTTCGTCAGCTCAGTGGTAGCTACGACCTCGGCCCCTCTGAGTTTTTCCTCTACTAAGAGTTTGTTGAACTTCGCTTATCTGAGATTACGACTAACTTGTCTTTTCCTTGTGTCTCAAGATCCCGGCGCCCACGTCGCAGCCCAGCCGCTGCCACTCACGCCGCCTCACCTTCCGACCTGCATTCTCCGCCGGCTCTACGAACAACTCAATAAAACCTATTTCCTTCACCTACACTACCGTCTCGGTGTCTGCTTATGGGTCCAGGATAACCGACCGTAACAACTGCAATGCCATTGTTACATTAGTTGATACAACTGGCTACCTGATAAATGTGTGATTTTGTATTAAATTTATGAAAGAAACAGCAGTAAAACGGTTGTAGCTGTAGAAAAGTACCGGGTGAAGGCACAGCCGATGCGCAGATCCAGCTCCTGACGTGCATCCACGGACAGGGCTTCATTGCGGTTGGGCTCTCCAAGGCAGTTCATGGCGTTACAGAGGTCAGTGTCAGTGATGGAGCTGAATTTGGCGCGGTAAACAGTTTGCTCCCCAACACTCCCCTGGTTCATCACCGGCTCGATGGCATCCAGTACCTGAGAGGAAAGAGAAACAATGACCGGTAGAAAGATGGCAATATAAAGTCAATGTTGCTTTAAGTAAAAGTATTCCATTCATCAAATGATATGTTCATGGTAGGCTTACATCATTGGTTAATAATTATTGACGAAGTTATGTGTTCATCACTTTAATGTTACAGCAGGTAAAGGTAGAGCTCATTTTAATTACATGACATACTTCATAACACATCATACATGTAGTCAATTAAGCTCCACCGTTTGAGATGAGCACACACACACACACACACACACACACACACACACACACACACACACACACACACACACACACACACACACACACACACACACACACACACACACACACACACACACACACACACACACACACACACACACGTTAATACCAGCTGTAGCCTAAATAAGCCCTGAATTACCTCAAAGCAGATGTTCTCGCCTTCTTTATCACAGTCCAACCATAAAACCACGTAGTCACAGCCTCTGGCTTCAACCTGACATGAACACAGAACCTTGGGGTCAGCACCAAAGCACAACACACTGACATCCAGCTGATACACAGAGTGTCTTGTGGAAACCAACCACACCTACCTGGAGGAACTTGACCATGTTGAGTTTGGGGTTGGCCTCCTTCTTCTCTGTGGGAGCCTTGCTAAAGAGCTCTGCAGGGTCCACCTTGTCCCAGTTGTTGTACTTCCCTAGAAAAGAAAAGAGCAAAGTTCATAAACAGTTTGAGCACATTTACGAGTAAACCAAAGAGTTTGGATGTTTGGAAGGGGCAGAGCACCGGTACGGCAACTGCATGGCGTCATTTCAACCGTCACTGTAAACCGTCAACGATTCCAAATGTTATCTTTTTACTTTGTTATCGTCACTATTGTGTCATGCAATTTAAAAGGAATAGTAAATGAATGATTGTGTTTTCATCCATCATTTCTACTTCTATGAGGAATCACCAGGACCTGAGGCCTATTCCTCACAGCTAGATTATGGCTTTTCTTACACACATTGTTACACGTATACTGTATACTGTGTACTCTACTGATTGGCCAGTCACCGGTCACGGCTAATGAGCTGAAAACTGTCCTGTTTCGATCGATTGAATTGCAACGTTACATCCATTTCTATTCTCTCTTCCTCTGTCAATGAGGTAAACTAATGTGATCACATTTTTAAGCACAGCAAGGAAATGTCATGAATGAAAGTTCGGTGTGTGAGCAGGACCTACTCTGGATGGTACCCACCAATGAAATCCAGACTCATCACATGTCCACAGACAGAAGTCATCTTGAAGCGTACACTTTGGCCCCGGAAGCTGCCGGGGTATTCGTGCACCGAGCATGCTCCGTTGAGCCCCTTGCGACTTGTACAGTTTCCTTCAGGACAAGGAGAAGAGATGAGGTAGTACTCAGTCAATACGGCCATTAAAGAGGTAAAAGATTTCACCACAAGAGCATTCAGAACATTTCTACGTCCATATTTGAACGGAAGCATATACAGTGAAATACAACGCCTTCAACAGAAGTGATCGATAGCAAAGGCAATGAATATTGTTTAAACTCTAATGGAAAGATCCAGACCAATAATGAAAATATCCTAACAAGTACTCGTGTACCAACGCCTGATAGTACATCACTCATAAAAATTTAAATTTTCTTTTTTACAAATACATATGCTGTCTGAAAGTATACAGAAGTACATTTAATGTTAAACGGTTGTGTTTTAATATGCAACATCAAGTGGTGAGTTGTAAACCTTTGCAGGATGCAACAAATGTTTGGCCACTGAAACAAAAACTATAGTTATAGAATAATGCCAACGTAATCTTCCATAATATGCCAAAATGAAAGAAGATTTCTTAGTATATTTAAGTGTATAGAACTTTTGTCAAACTTTTCAAATGCGCTCAAAAACGTAAACATGAAGTTACTTCTGAAACTAGAGCGAACGCTGGCTGATGAGTCAGACCTCTAATGGCTGTGTCCCATTTCTCAGTAAGGGGGGGGGGGGTGGTGAGGGTCCTCCCTCAGTTACCTGGACTCAAGGCTGCACGCTGACGTCATCTCTGAATACAATTATTCTCTCGAGGCTGAATGCTAATTACGGGAACATGGACACAAACTATTATGATGGGAATCAGAGTGACCAATATGTCTTCCTTCACCTCACCACACCCACACCCACACACACACACACACACACACAGTGGATGCTAGACACATAAATAGAGGCAGGTCCAGGTCCAGATACAGGACCCAGTGAACTACCAAAGGAAAAACACACCAATCTCCAGTCACCTTCTGCCATGGATCAGCTCCAGGTAAGAAACCTTTATGTTGATGACTGACTGTTCCAGATAGCTACCACTGAGGCTACACGTGGCTGACCTTCAGAGTAGACCAGCTATGGCTTCAAAGGCTACGTTTATATTTTTCCAAGTCTACCGTAGTTCATGCTCTCACCCAACATGCATGTTGAAATAGTTATGGGTAGCTGTAATCATTCTGGCTGTGAGATGTGGGACAAAATCCACCGTCCTTATCTCAGCAGCATGCAGTTCATGGTTTAGTTCAGGTGAAGCTAATACAAGGTCTCAGTCTGAGGTAGACGAATCCGCTGGACATCGTTTCAAAGTTACAGTCGGTCAACAAAACCTGGAATGTGATAGTGAACCTGTTTGATTGGAACGGGATTAGTTTCTGAACTGTAGGACAAAATCGTATTTTGAGCAGAAGGAAAGTGATTAGAATCCATCTTTGGGGATCATCACAACGTCTGTACAGACGTTCATGGTAATCCATCCAGGACCTATTGAGGTATTTCAGTGTGGACCAGCCGTCCCTTTTGCCACGCTGCTAGTGTGTTTAAAAATCACAAGTACTAAGATTAAAGAGTTGCAGTTGCAGTAGAAGCGGGTATAAAAATCACCAAACAAGATTGCTGCACTGGTCTGTAAAGTCCTCCAGCAAAGTCCTGAATGATTCTGGTTTCTATAGATCTTGTGCACAAGATGTGGATCTATGAAAAAGATCATCTGTATCACAAGATGAAATAGTTCAGGACTTTACTTTACAGACATGCAGGAACATTTGTCAGGTTATGTGCATCTTCCAGAAGGCATCAGTGAGTAAATGGACAAACTGTATGCAGAGAATATGCAGAAGACGCAGAACAATAACGCCCAGCTGAACCTGATTAATTTCAAACTGACGTCCAAAGTTATATGGAACCAGAGGAATGGCTGATATTCACCGACATTCTTACGATACCACACTCATGTTTTGGTAGAATACACAGAATGGAAGTTCTCAAACGTTACAAGAAAGAAAACGCTCTAAGATCACCACCTATCTAATGAAAGAATAGGTAATAAAGACCACATAAAGGTGATCGGCTTACTGGACAGGTTTTGAAACATTTTAGTGAGAACAAAATAAATACTGAAATTTAAATCCCAGCTGAGTCAAAACTGTCTTTACTAAATAGAGTATGAAATACCTCCAGTCAGTCGTCTGCCTATGACTTGATAAAGGGGAACAACAGACCACAATCAAGTCTACAACAACATGATCAGATACACATTGGTCAGTTTGATCCTGCTGTATTGTCCATACTGCACAGTGCGTGAACTGAATCTGATATCATCTCTTCATGTTTCCACATTTGAATTTGGACAAACAGACACATCTCCAGGTAGCTGGCACAGAGAGTCTGGCCACACTAACACAAGTTATTGTCTGTACCCAGCTGCTGCGCGTCCTTCTGCTGTGTCTGATGGCCCATCACCAGAGTGTGGCCATGCCACTGGGCGACCAGTGTGTGGACGAATCCTTCTGTTCGTACAGCCTGCAGGACTACCACAGCCAGCTGGTCAACCTGCCCAGCCGCATCAACGAGCGCAGCATTGCAAGTTGGACCTACGTGTAAGTATACATGACATGTGTCACGAAAGTGTAACTTCACTCCCAGGTCTGAACCTAACTCCACCCACTGAAACACCGACTCTCCACCCACTGAACACCGACTCTCCACCCACTGAAACATCG